GGGCTGTTGTACATAGGGTCGCTATGAGTCGCAGGCGACTCGACGGCACATAACAACAACAACAACATCAACAAGTATTTCTTGAATATCTACATGTTATGCATGTGAAGTTGGACCATGAATAAGAAAAACCAAAGGATTGATGCCTTTGAATTGTGATGCTGACCAAATACCATGGACTTCCAAAAACCCAAACCAATTTGACTTAGAGGAAGTATAATCAGGGTGCTCCTTAGAGGCAAGGAAGTCAGCAAAACGTTATCTGACTCACTCTGGGGACAGGACCAGTCCTTGGGAAAAAAGAGATATCATGCTGGGAAAATGAAAGAGTGAGCAACAGAGAGAATCACAAGGTCATCAAGATGAATTAACACAGTGACTGCAATGCTAGGCTTGAGCATTGTGGAGAATAGGAGGATGGATCTGTTGTTCACAGGGTCACTGTGAGTCTTGGTCTACTTCACAGCACCTGACAACAGTCTACATGGTGTAAGGCCTCTGGGATATGTACTCAATATTTACCAGATAAAAGTGCCAGAGTCTTCTTGGCCTAGATTAGAGCATGTCCTCAGGCACCACTCTAATATCCCTCTGTGGAAAGGGATTTGGATTTTGAAGCTCCATCTCACATACTGTGGGCATGTGACCAGCAAGAACCAATCACTGGAGAAGGCCATGATGCTCTGAAGGGTGTAGGGACAGCACAGGAGAGGAAGACCCAGGATGAGATAGATTGTTACAGTAACTGGGGTATGAGGGCAGGCGTGTCGGAGACTGTGAGACTGGCTCAGAACAGGGCAGGCTTCCAAGTTCTTGTACATAGTATGGTCATTATGAGTCACAAGCGACTTGATGGCACATAAAAACAACAACAGCAAAACTAATGATCCTCAAAACCCTAAAGGGCACAGATTGTTGTTGTTGTACATCATTGAGTTATAATGGAACTATAGTTGACCCTCCAGGTGGTTTTCAAGGCCTGTAAATCACACAAGAGGAGACTGTCCAATGTTTCTCCCACAGAGAAGCTGACAGATTCAAGCCATGTGACTTTGGGTTGGCAGCACAATTCCTTACCACTAAGCCCAGAGTTCCTTTTCAGGACACTAATTAGTTTTCAGGAAAGGATCCATTGCCATCAGATTTAGAGGTCCCAAGAAAGGTGCTCAGACATCATGCTTGGAAAGGCAGAGAGCCAGCGAAAGAGAGGAGGGGCATCAACAAGATGGAATGACACAGTACAGCAGAGATGATGAGGATGGAGCAAGATAGGACAGGACTCAGATCTGTTGCTCATAGGGTTGCTATGAGTTGTATTAGACTTAAAGACACCTAACAATTACACAACAACAGAAAGGTTAAAGGACAGTCTACACCATGTCTATGAATGTATGCTTTCCTAATAGTATTGCTAGGGTTTTTAAAAGCTAATATATTTTAATGGTGTTATAAAAAGATTATCAAACACTTTCAACAAATTATCTCCAAGTATTTCTTCTTAAAAGTTGGCTAGTGAAAGCCTTGTGGATCACAATGGTCTGACTCTCTTGTGTCCATGAGGTCACCAGGAGTTGGAGGACAAGTTGACAGTAGCTAACAACAAATTTCCCTTTTCCACTGAATATGAGAAGCAAACAGATAAATAATAAATATTTGGAAAGGAGATCTCAAATTTATGGAAAGAGTGACAGACTGACTCCAGGTGGTGTTTATCTCCCTGTAGAGATAAACAAAGGTGAGGCACAAAGATAAGTATCATCCTTATAAACATCACACATTGTTTTGGAAAGAAACATTATCATCTTTTCAGCCCATTATTTTCCAGTTTGAGGGGGGGGAAATTACATTCATCAGCAGTCAGGAAATCAAAAAACAAATTACATTAGGGAAATCTGCTGTCAGCGACAGCTCCCAAGAAAGCTAAAGAGTAACGATGTCAGTCTAGAGGCTACTTCAGGCCATCATCTTCCCAAGTACTTGCTATGCATCAGAGAGCAAGACAGTGACTAAAGATATCAGAAGAAGAAGAAGAGTATTGAACACATCCTATACTGCCAAAATATCAAACAGGTATGTCCCAGAGAGGGTGAAACCAAGCTGTTCCTTGGAGGCAAGGATTTTGAAAACTCCATCTCACATATTTTGTGCAAGTTGCCAGAGGGACCAGCCCTTGGATAAGGACATCAGGCTTGGAATGGGGGAGGAACAGTGCAGGAGAGGAAGACCGCAGATGAGATGGATTTACAAAGAAACTGTAACAATGGGGGTAGAAGTGTCGGAGACAGTGAGGTTGGCTCAGGACAGGGCAGGCTTCAGAGCTGCTGTACATAGGGTCATTATGAGTCGCAGTGGACTCAATGGCACATAACAACAACAACAAAACAGAGAAGAAATGTTTACCTTTAAGCATGACTTTTTAAAATTTCTCTTTAACAGGATGATACGATTTCTAAAAGAAGGGCTGAACTTGTATTAGAAAGAGAGATAAGAAAGAAAGGGGAGGTAAGTAAATAGTTTAAAATAAAGATATAGAAAAATGTCTTGGACATATGCTGTGTTTGTGTATGAGTGATGAACGATAGATGAGACTTTTACCCTCTTCTTTGATACTCCATAACTGCTTTACAATGACCTTGTAATCTGAAAAATGAAGTCATTAAAAGGAAAGAGGACCACAACAGAAGGCTAAAATGGTCTAATATAAAATACAGTCTGAGGATCAGGGAAGGAGAGGAAGGCCGTCGAGGGCATGGGTGACACAGTGACTAACAATTGGCTCGGCATGGCCGCGGTGGTGAAGACGACACAGGAACAGGCAACATTCAGCTCTGTGGTTCATAAGGTCCTTATGAGTGGTGGTCGACGGGATGGCACTCAACAGCACCCTCTTTTCAAAATTTAATTTTTGCACCCCTTACTTTCAGTCAATGCCATGGGCTGGGCCAAGAGCACCAGACAGGAAGCCTGTGAGGTTGTACTAAAATAGAGATTATTTCATATTTCAAGAGTAATACTGGAATTGGGCAGGGCCTATGAACTCTCAGATACCTGAACAGGGAGCTCTCAGGAAAGCACCTTGTCTCTAACTCCTGGAATTTTTTAAAAATAGGACAAACATTGAAGAAAATGCATTTTGTTTTATTCAGAGATGCGCTATTCCCTAGTTGGCCCAAATGCCACACCCAGGCAACTCCAGAGCGCGAGGTAAGAACAGAAATGGGACTAGACACACTAGTTCCAAATGGACCCAATATTCATCTATACAGCCAACTTACAAGTAACCCTGTACCACCAAGTCAAAAGATAGCATAGCCCTTTCCTCCTGTGTCATTTACAGCCTAAGAAACCCAATGGAGGGTCACCGATGAGTCTATTCCAAGTCAACAACAATGAGTCTGTGCTAAGGCACCTTATTTGCAACATATTTTCAAAGCTGACCGTCCTACAATCTGATTTCCAGCTATTCAAAAGTGTTTGGCCAGAGGAGGAAAAGAGTAAAAGAAAATACTTGGGTGGTAAATGCAGCCACATACCTTTCTGGGCACAGCCATGCTGGAGTTATAGAGGACTACTGAAGTAATGCAGCTGCCACTGTGTGCACAAAATGAGCCTAAGCCACTGTTTTCATTGTCCAGAATAAATATTCATAACCACAAGGAGATAAGCAACTTAACTGGGCACTCTCCTGCCACTGTTTGAGACTCTGGTCAATTGTGAGCAGAACCTCTAGACATTTCTGTGTCACTCTAGTGCTCATTCCTTTCATTTTTTTTTTTTAAAAAAAAAGCTCCAAAAATCTCCCTTTGTTCTAGGTTTCATGCTAACATTTAAGATCAAGAAGACAGACATTTGGGATCAATTTGTTGAACTACTTTTCACCTAGAAATTTCTAGTAGTGAGTCCATTTAGACTCACCTCAAATGTCTCGGCCTCACATTACAAGAGTCCAGACTTGGGAAGGACACCTCTAATTCAGCCCCCTTCCTCCAGTTCTCTCTCTTTGGCACTCCTGGATCCCCAGTGCTGAAACACTTATTTTCATGCTGTAATTTAATACTGAATAGTTTACTTAATGATAGGCAGCATCATGAGGAATAGATAGGAGAGTCAAACTGTCAACAGCTTCATCTTGCTTGGATCCATAAGTCACATCCTTGGTACCAGCGGTCAGGAAATAAAGAGACTCATTGTACTAAGAAAATCTGCAGTTCGGGACCTTTCCAAATTATTGAGGAATAGTGATGTCAGTTTAGACTAAAGACCAAAGTACATCTGATTCAGGCCATAGTCTTTCTGATTACTAGGTATGTATCTGAGAGCTGGACAATGATTAAGAATGACAGAAGAACTGACACCCTTGAGCTGTGGTGTTGGAGAAGAGCACTGAACTTCCTATAGACGGGCAAGAGAATGAACTGCTATGTCTTGAAGAGGGTGCAGCCAGAGTGTTCTTTGGAGGCAAAAATGATGGGCTTTGCCTCACGTATTCTGGGCAGGTTGCTAGGAGGTGCTATTCCTGGAGAAAGACATGATGCTGGGAAGGGTGTAGGGTCACCAAAGGAAAGGAACACCCTTCAGCCAGTTATGTCTTCTTTGGTGAAGTGTCTGTTCATATCCAGTGCCCATTTTTCAATTGGATTATTTACCTTTATCATGTTGTGGTGCTCGAGTTAGTTTATAAATTCTAGATACAAGTCCCTTGTCTGACAAGACATTAACAAATATTTTTCCCAACCTGTGGCTTCTTGCGGTGACCCTGTAGGATTCTGTAAACTTTTGACATGAGACCCCTGTCTGAGATGGTATTGACAAATGTTTTTCCCCAGTCAGTAGGATTTCTTTTCACTCTGTTTGAAAACATTTTTGATGCACAAAGAAAATTAATCTTTAGAAGGTCCCATTCACCAATTTTATCCTCTTCAGATTGTGCATTTCTGATTGTATGTGGCAGTCTCTTTATACCACAAACTAGGCAGTCTAGGCTTGATCCCAGTTTCTCTCTGATGAACTTTATGGTTTGGAGCTTTCCTCTCAAGTCTCTGATCCACGTTGAGTTGATTTTTGGGTATGGTGTGAGATAGCAAACCTATTCTTAAGATGAATTTGAAATTCACATGGAATAGACTCAGGATCATATTTTGGTTCTTGTGGACCTATTTTCATTTTCTTCAGCCTCAATTTGAACTTCCACATGAGCAATAATACTCATTATTATGAGGAATAATAGTATTATATATTATACACCTGATAATAATAATAAATATATATTATACATCTCACTTATGTTATTGAGGAAGGGTCAGTCCCTGGAAAAGGGTATCATGCTTGAAAAAGAGGAGAGTGAAAGAGTGAAAGGAAGCTCCTCAGTGAGACAGACTGACACAGTGACTCCAACAGTAGGTTTCAGCACAGCAGAGTGGGTGAGAATTGCACGGGATCAGGTAGAGTTCCCTTCTGCTGTGCACACCATAAGCCAACTCCATGGCACCTAACAAAAATAACATTGACTTTTATGTGGACAAAAACTATGTTTACTTTGTCCATTTTTATATTCCCAAAGTTTAGCATGCCCAATACATTATGAATGTACTCAATAAAAAAATTGTTAAAATTCTTTTTTAAAAGGTAATATTCTGATGTATTAAATGTAACTGTGCACATAATTATTAAACATTTAACATCTCTATGAGTTCAGTATGGCCTCAGAGTTTTGAAGGTAATAAATTTTGGGGTATCATATATGTACACTTTCATGGCAGTATGAGGTAAATTTTGCAATAACATTACAATCAATATCCAGTTATTACAAAACAATACAAATTATTATTATTTTAATAGTGTTCTTTCATTATAAAGCATATTCATGTATGTGTGTGTTTGCGTGTTGTTACTGCTGAGTACCATCGAGTTGGAACCAACCCACAACTAGCCCTCCAACAGGTTTTCAGAGGCATTAAATTGCAACGAAGATTTCCTATCTTTCTCCCATGGAGTAGCTGGTACATTCAAACCATGTACATTAGGTTGGCAACAAAATTCCTTACCACTAAAGAAGTATGGATCTTACCTAGTGGTAAGAAGGGTTGCAATTAGAATCCACCAGCTGCTCTCCTCCATTGATATTTAATGCCTCTGAAAACCCGCTGGAGGGTCAGCTGTGCGTGAATTCCTACTCCAGGGTACTCATAACAAGGTATACATATGGAGGGATGGGCAGTACCCTCCTGAGCTGTTTACTGCCTCTGAAAACTTTCTGGAGGATCAGTTGTGGGTCAGTTTCAGCTCTATGGCACACAACAACTATATACATCAGGAGATAACCAACTAACCTTTCTTTCTCAGACTGGTGCTAAAGAAGAAGAAGATACTAGTGAGGAAGAGCCTGAAGACGAGGAAGATGGCAGTATTGACAACATTCTCAATGAAGAGTTTCCCAAAGACGAGGAAGAAATGAGTGATGAAGATGAAGAACAGGAAACTGATGCCACTGAACACCTGAGAAATGAACTGGGAGAAAAATATGAAGCAGATATGACTAGTTTACAATTGATACAGGTTCTTAATTTTCCTTCTTTTTCATAATTCAAGAAAGTAATATTCAATTTTCATCATAATTGGGGGGAAGTAACATATGAAAATGAAACAAAACACTTTGGCAGGTATTTGAGTTTTTTCTTTGTTAGGTTGTGTTCTGGTTTTATTTTATGTGTAAAACAAATATATTTTGTATGAACTGCTTATCCTTTTTGGGAGCTCTGGAGGCTTAGTAGTATGTAGTTAGTTGCACTGCCAACCCAATGGCATGCAGTTCGAATCCACCCATTGTTCCATGGGAGAAAGATGGGCAATCTCCTCCTCAGAAAACCCACTGAAGGTCAAGGATGAATCAGTTTCAACTTGGTACAACAACTTCTAATTATGAAAACAAGCTTATAAATCAAAGGCAACCTGGTTCCATACAGGATCAGAGGCTTCAGCTGCCAGCATCCAGCCACTTAAAAGCTGAAAAAAAGCTGTTCTCTACACTGATGTGGAAGCCCTGATTGTACAATTAAAGTGCTCTGCTGCTCAGTGAAAGACGGGGGGTTCAAACTCACCAGCTGCCTCAGGGGAGAAAAGCCTTCAAGTCCATTTTGACTCATAGAGACCCTCCAGCCAGTTCTGAGACTGTTACATCTTTACAGGAGAATACCTACTTTACTGGAAGCTCCGCTGCTAACCCAAAAGCCAACCCTTTCTGGTGTTCAAATCCACCAGTGGCTTCAGGGTAGATGTAGCTCCCGTGCAATTTATAGCCTCAAAAACCCAGAGGAGGGTCAATTATGTGACAGTTCAGGCTCAATAGCAACAAGAAAAAGATGAGAAGAACCCATTTTCTCCCATGAAGCAGCTGATAGATTTGGACTGCTGAAGACTCTATTACCATCAGAATCTAGGAAACTCTATGGGACTCAACTCTGTTTTAGAAATCATTGTGGGGTGAAATCAAGTTAATGGCACACAACAGCCTGAAAGAGTCACTAGCCATCTGTTGTCCCTGAGTACTACCAGACTTTTTACTCACGGAATATATTTACTTCTATGTTTTTTCACTGCTCAGGATGAATTTGAGAAGATTTTGGTACCACTGATTCATATTAATGGATCTCGGAAAAGTCACATTGTCAAATACATGTTGCATAACAAAGTGAAGTCACTGGTGGAAAATCGTGTAAGCATCTTTGAGAAATGTTATCCAGTAAGGCCACACATTGCTCAGAAATTGCTCAACTTAACCTACAAATATCAAAGCTCATTTGGATACTGGGACCCAGTAAAGGTAATGTCACCACACATAGCTGAAAACCATGCTGCTTCTATGCTTAAAGGTATTTTTAATATCTTTTAAAAGGTATTTTTGTTCTTTAAAGTATTTTAGGAAGAAAATGGAATAATATACCAAATGTACTCTATTCTTAACAGCCATAAAAATTTTTATCTTGTCTTTTTAGGGTGGATGAAACAGTTGAAGGATTTCAATTCAGTTGTTTCAGTCTCAGGGAGCTCTGGTGGTGTAGAGGCAAGAAAGCTGTTAACCTAAAGACCAGGCATCTGGTGGTTTGAATCCACCAGCTAGCCGCTCAGCAGAGGAAAGATGAGCAGTCTTCTCCTGATTCCTGTACAGCTTCAGAAACCAACTGGAGGATCTGCTATGAGTTGGTTTCAACTCCAGGGCAATGACTTTGACTTTCTTTTATTTCAACCTAATTCTAACTTGGTTTTGCCTTTGTAGCAGTGGAAATACTGAACTATTAATCTACTGACTCCAAGTGGCCTGACAGGACAAAGCAGAATTGCCCCATAAGGTTTCTGAACACTGAAGTCTTTATAGTAGCAGACTGCCTCATTTTCCTTCTGAGAATAGGCAAGTGGATTTGAACCACTGACCATTCTGTTAGCAGCACACAGCTTAGCCCATCACATGGTAAAGGTTACTGTAGGGCCAACAAATTAGAATTATTTGCATGCATTAGTTAAGTAATCTAACACCACCTTGCTGTCTACATAAGTCATTTAGTCTCTGCAGTTCTTTTCCCCCACAACTTTACAATGGGAAGACACTGCTATATTTGTGATCAAATCCAAGAGTGACAGAGCCCTCTGAAAAATATGAAACACCATGCAAAATTATATTAATAACAATTAATGCTCCTAACAAACTCATTTCTAAATTACTGTGTCAAAAAACAATAGGCAGTATCAAAAAGCCAGATTTAACCTCACTGGAATTCAGTAACTTTAAGTTAAGGATGATTTTCAGAAAACTTTATTAATAATCACAAAAAGGACAAGCCTCCTTCTGTTCCAGAGCCGATGTTCTAGTTAGGTTGCGAAGGGCGGGAGGCACTAATACATAAACAAGAACAGTCCTGTCACATAGTGCTAAATGCTGTAGACAATAAAATCATAATGCTGGAGTCCTTGTATGCTACAAAGGGCTAATGTGCTTGGCTGCTAAAAGTGGTAATTCAGATTCATTCAGGAAGAAAAGCCTGGTGATGTACTTCTTAGCTCTACTCTGGCAAACCTGGAGTTGCCATCAGCCCAGATCAATTCAGCCACACCTGGTTGTAGTCATTGTGATAGTGACTGGGGGAGGGGGGGCAGAAGCTCCTTTAGATGAGTTAAACGGCCTTTATATAAGAAGACTAAATAGTGAGGCACCAGCCATGCAGTGTTGTCGTTTAAGTGTGGTCCAAGCATAGTAACTAAGTACAAAAATTTCACTGCACCCATGTTCATAACAGCATTATCCACAATAGCAAGAAAATGCACACAGCCCAAAAGTCCAACAATAAACAAATGGCCTGAGAAACTGTGGTACATTCACACAATGGAACACTATGCAGCACTCAGGAACAATGATTTTAAAATA